CTTTTTTAAAATCAGTGCATTATAGTTGTATATAACTCTTGCATTATTTCCATGATAATTTCCTCCCCTCTTTTTTCTCCATTTTCTGGAAATCCCCCTATTCATTGGTCTTTTTATCTTTGCTTCAAATTTCCTGTGATTTTGTTTTGGGAGTTAAGCTAAATTTTACCCACCTTTTTGAGGTGCTGGGGATGGAATTCAGGGCCTTGCACATGCTAGGCAAGCACTCTACCTCTGAGCTATACCCCCAGCCCTTAAGTTGTATGTTAAGGTGTTATCATTAAAGTTTAATCCACCTGCAATTTGGCGTGTGGGGAAATGGTTACCTTGAAAGTGATGACCTCCATGCCCAGGATCTTGGAATAGAACATAGTGGTATCTTTGATGCTCTTCACTGTCATCACGATGTGGTCAAGTCTATGGATAAGACACCGGGAAGGGGTCTGAGAGCTGTCCCTCCTTGACTAAAAGGTAAAAAAAAATGTCAGGTGAAACCACATTGCCACTGAAGACTCTCATGTTTTCTGCTTCACCCCCCACCCCCTGCATTACTTCCACCCCCATTTCAAAGGGAGAATCCCAAAGGAAAATGTCAGTAGAGTCTAATGGATACATGCATGGATTCATAAGATTCTATGTGTCTGTCATGCCCATTCTTCACTCTTTACTTTTTAAAAATAGTTTTTAACTATATATATTTATGTATATATATTAATTAGTTGTAGGTGGACACAATACCTTTATTTTATTTATTTTTATGTGGTGCTGAGGATCGAACCCAGGGCCTGGCAAATGCTAGGTGAGTGCTCTACCACTGAGCTACAACCCTAGCCCTCCAGTTCTTTTTTTAAGTAGTTTTTTAGTCATTGCTAAACCTTTATTTATTTATCTGTTTGTTTATATGTGGTGTTGAGAATTGAGCTCAGTGCCTCACACATGCTAGGCAAACGCTCTACTACTGAGCCACCACCCCAGCCCTATTTCCAGTTCTTGATACAAAGTTTGACGTGATATATTCTATTCTATTCTATTCTATTCTATTCTATTCTATTCTATTCTATTCTATTCCATTTCATTGTCTTCCTTTCCATTCTGTTCTATTGGATTCGATTCTGTTCCATTAAATTCTACTTGACACTATTTTATTGTTTTCCATTCCACCGTGTTTAATTCCATTCAAACCAGTACATTCGAAACAATTGATTTCACTGAGCCCCAGATAAAACATCCTGTGTAGTTCTATTTCGTAAGTGGAAGAGGCATTAGCAAAGTTGCTGAGTTCTGCTCTCTTCATAAATACAGAGGATCCAAATGAACACAGAAGCAGCACAAGAAGTAAATGACTGACATTTGGATTCCATTGAAAATAAAGTTATATGTTCAAAAAGTCTTATTAACCCTTCAGTGTCTGTAGAATCTGTAAGAGTGCCCCATATACTTTCCTGATATGGATAATTCATGTTTCTCTTAATTTTTGGAGAGAAAACAAAAATTGCTAATATCTCATTCATCTTTTCAAAGAACCAAACTTCTTTTTTGAAAATTTTTTAGTTGTACATGGACACAATATTTTTGTATATTAATTTATTTTAATGCAGTGCTGAGGATTGAACCCAGTGCCTCACACGTGCTAGGCAAGTGCTCTGACTCTGAGCTACAGCCCCAGGCCTAGAGCTCAGTTTTATAAAATGATGATGAGGACTGAGGGTATAGCTCAGTAGAAAGTTTGCCTAGCTTTTTTCGGCCCTTGGTTTTTTTCTTCGGACCCAAAACCTTACCCAAACCAAGGGATTAATTGAAAAAACAGAAGATCAAGACAGAGTGATCATATAAGGTTTACTGTGTGCTGACCCCTGTTTTAAGCACTTATCAAAAAGAATATGAGGGGCTGGGGTTGTGGCTCAGTGGTAGAGCACTTGCCTAGAATGTGTGAGGCACTGGGTTCGATTCTCAGCACCACATATAAGTAAATAAATGAAATAAAGGCTTATCAGCAACTAAAAAAAGTATTAAAAAAAGAATATGGGGATCTGGGGCTGTGGCTCAGTGGTAGATCATTCACCTAGCATGGGTGAGACTCCGGGTTCAATCCTCAGCACCACATAAAGATAAATAAATAAAGGTATTTTCTCCATTTACAACTGAAATATATTTTAAAAAAATTTTTTTAAAAGAATATGGACCAGGACTGGTAGTACACACTTCTAAATCCAGCCAATTCAAGAGGATGAGGCAGGAGGATGGCAAATTTGAGGCTAACCTCAGGAATTTAGCAAGGCCCTCTCTCAAAATAAAAAGGACTGGGAATGTAGCTCAGTACCAGTACCCCTGGGTTCAATTGCAAATACAAAAAAAAAAAGAAAGAAAGAAAGAAAGAAAGAAAGAAAGAAAGAAAGAAAAGAAAAGAAAAAACTATACAGAGGGGCAGAGATATAGCTCTGTGGTAGAGCACTTCTGTAATATGTGTTAATATGTGTGAGATCCTGAGTTCTATCTATAGTACTTAAAAAAATTTGGGAATGGGGATGTGGCTCAGTGACAAAGCACTTGTGTACATGTGTGAGGTTCTGGATTAAATTCCCAGTACTGAAAATGAAGAAAGAAATCTAGAACCCGTTTTACTTCTCACAACAGCTCTATAAATAGATATAGTCAAAGTGCCCAGAATACAGTATCCCCCTTCCTTTAGCCTTCTCCAGAGGAAAGGATTTTTCTCTTCTTTGAAGTCTTGAAGTCTTGAAGTCTTTTTCAATGTCCTCTTTAGGCTATCAGAGGAATCTTCTAGCAAACCTCAAGGTCATTGCTTTGTTCCCTGGCCCTTCCTGATAGGGCTCTATCATGACAGATTCAGGGACACACTCCATGAGTCACCTTTGGGTCTCTCTACCTGTCCTTGACACTAACCTGGCTCCCTCTGAACCACCCAGGCAGAGCAGCCAGACCTCTGCCTGTTTGTCTTGCAGACATGTCACTTGAATCCTCTGTGGGTTTGAGCAGGGCCTTTCCATGGTCCTCTGCTGCCCTCTGCTTGTCTTTGAAAAAGGAAGCAAGAGAGAAGCACAGGGAAATGGAGGACGTCACAACAGGGGAGCCCACAGAGAAGAAAAGAAGCAGATTAGCAGCTCCAGGCTGGGAGAGCCCCAGCCTGCCTAGGTGTCGACAGCCATGCCCTAGGACCCCAGGGCCCGCCATATTCACCTGATTTTCTGAAGTCCTGCTCGACATCCTGACTGGCAGCCTGGAGAGCAGACAGCGCAGCATGGCAGGGTAGGTGTTCCTGCCCTAGCACCTCCAAGACAACCCGCTGGCTTAGTGCCCAGAGATCAAGGGGCAAGAATGGGAGGGCGCAGACTGAAGACTGACTGTTGGTTGGGACAGAAGTAGGTGGTGCATGTACAAAGACTCTGACATAAAACTTAGGGTCTTGAGAGGTTGAGGATGTAGCTCAGTGGTAGAACATGGGCTTCATGAGGCCCTGGGTTCCATCCTCACCACTGGAAAAACAAACCAAGAAACTTCAAAGCCTTGAAAGTAAAACCCAGGTGTATGTGTAAGGGGTTCCTTCTCAATAACACAGAAAAACCACTCACCCAAAAGTGATGAGGGAGCCAGGCATGGGGGTGCACATCTGTAATCCCAGAGGCTCAGGAGGCTGAGACAGGAGGATCTCAAGTTCAAAGGCCTGCCTCAGCAACTTAGTGAGATCCTCAGCAACTTAGCGAGAACTTCTCTCAAAATGAAAATTTAAAAAGGCTGTGGATGTGGCTCAGTGGTTAAGCACCCCTGGGTTTAATCTCTGTTACAAAAAAAAAAAAAAAAGATTTGAGGGTTGAGGGGGCCAGTATTCCCAGCTGGGAGGCCTCTTGTCTATTTAGGGTTGCTGTCTCCAGAGGGCTATACTTCTGATCTGTATGTGAGCCAGTGTCCAGCATGTGGAGTTATGAGCTGTCTGAGTTAGGGTATGGCCACTCTATATTGGTTCTGTATCTGAATCAAGATTTCTTTTCTAGGGGCTGGGGTTGTGGCTCAGTGGTAGAGCACTCGCCTAGCACATGTGAGGCACTGGGTTTGATTCTCAGCACCACATAAAAATAAATAAATAAAACAAAGGTATTGTGTCCAACTACAACTAAAAAATATTTTTTAAAAAGATTTCTTTTCTCTCGTTTTTGTTTTGTTTTGTTTTAGACAGGTTTTATTCTATGTTGACTAGACTGGGCCTGGGTTCAAGTCAACCTCCCAAGCAGTTGGTATGACAGGCACAAGCTACCAAATCCAGCTTCTAAGTGAAGATTTCTAAGTTATTCAGAGTTCTGGGGTTGGGTATGTAGCTCAGTGGTAGAGTACTTGTCTGCATGCTCGAGACCTTGAGTTCCATCCTAACACTGCAAAAACAAAAACAAACAAACAAACAAAAATCCAGAGTTTTGTGCCCCAGAGTGTGATGTTTCTGAATTCTACTGGGGCACGAAATCTGGGGTCTTCCCCATCCACCATCCATACTCAGCCCTCACCCGACCTTCCTCCTTCACTGTTGAGAGTCAGAGAACATTCACCTGGCCCATTGCCATTCTCCTCACCCTGAGCTGAGCATTCTTGGCTCTTACAGGTTACCTGTCTGGTTCCTGGGACAGGTGAGTTTGAGATTCTTCCTCCTAGACACATCCTCCCCCTTGCAACACAAATGTTTCACACTGTGGGTATTGTTTTTTTTTTTCTGTTATTGGTGCATTATATTGGTACATAATTGTTGGTTTCATTTTGATATAATCATACATGCATAGAGTTTAATTTAATCCATGTCAGTCCCAGTGCTTCCCTTTCCCTCCTCTCCTCCTGCCTTCTATTCCCCTTCTTCTACTCTAATAGTCTACTTGCACCCATTTATATATTTTTAATTGGTGCTTTATAGATATAAAGGTGGAATTCACTGTGGTAAATTTATACATGCACAGAGCATAATTTTGTTAATGCATTTAGCATTTCCTCCCATTTCCTGTCTCTCGTCCCTCCTCAATCTCCTTTAACTCCATTGATATTCCTTCTCTCTTTATGATACCCAGCCTCCCTTTTCCCCCTTATTTTGCTGTAGCTTCTGTATATGAGAACATTAAGCATAGGATTTTCCTTTAAAAAGAGTTGCACAAATAATACAGGTGAATACAGGTTTGTATAAAAGATTTGAACAGCACATCAGTACATTGACTATGCAGGACATCCCTGCCCCCACTCCTCCAAAATATCCACTGGGGCTCAATTTCTGGTGTTTACTTTTAGATACTTTCCCTACATAGCATTTGTATGTGCCCTCATGCACACATGGTCACAGCAACCAACCCCCTATCTGGCTTTTCCTCGTTTACATAGTGTCCTGTAGAAGGCACACAGTCCCATGGGTACACTCAGGTCCCGTTTATTCTGTATCACATAAAGAGGGTGCTCTATGGCAGAGCATTATCCCCCATCATTCATTTCACTCTGCAATGATCAGGGACTATACATGGACATTCAGCAGATTTTCCCACTCATGTTTCTCTTCAGGTTGCACAAATCTTTGGCCTTTCACACAGTTTTCCCCCACTGTTCATGTACATGACTACGTGCACTTGTGTTCAGTGTTAGAGGTACAAGTGGAATTGCTGGGGATTATTAGGGTTCTCCAGAGAACAGAATCAATAGGAGAAAGAGAACCAATATATGATTTATTATAAGGAATTGGCTCTTAACAATTATGGGAGCTGAGAAGTACCACAATCTGCTATTTTGCAGATAAGCTGCAGGCCCACAAGAGCTGGTGGTGTAGTTCTGAGAACAAGAGGGCTGATGGATAGCTCCCTGTTGAGGGCTGAAGACATTTCCCAGCTCAAGCAGTCAAGCAGCAAGCAAATTCCCCCTCCCTCCACCTTTTGTTCTATTCAAACTGTCAAAGGATTGGAAGAGGCCTTCTTTCAATGGGAGAGCAATCTGCAGTCCACAATTCAAATGCTAACCTCCTTCTGAAACAGCTTGGTAGTCACACCCAGAAATAATGTTTAATCAAGAGAACTCTGTGTCCTAGTCAAGTGGAAACATCAAACTAACTATCAAAATTCACCTCTTATCTACTTGCCATTCACATGCCTCTCCTTGAATCATACTTAATCTCCAAATGAAAACAATAAAAAAGGTCATCATCATTTTGCCTAACATGATCCAACTATCCTGCATACAACTGAGAATGCACAAGTCCTTCCCCAGAAGAGGAGGTGAAGTCCTTGAGCGATATTTACTATTCTTTAATATCCCACAATTTAAATATTGCAATGTAAACTTAACAAGACTTAAAGTCAACCTATCTTACATTACACACTAAGGGGATAATAGAGGTAAGAAATAAAAGACAGCTAGGCATGGTGGCACATGCCTGCAATCCAAGCAGTTCGGGAGGCCGAGGCAGGAGGATCCTGAGTTCAAAGCCAGCCTCAGCAAAATGGAGCTGCTAAACAACTCATTGAGACCCTATCTCTAAATTAAAAAAAATACAAAATGGGGCTGGGGATGTGGCTCAGTGGTAGAGTGCCCCTGATTTCAATCCCTGGTACCAAAGAAAAAGGAAGAAAAGATATTTGCTATATATGCACAAACATATTCAGAAAAAATAAGGAGGAAATATTTCTGACACTAATAGTCCTTAGTTCTGTAATTGGTCTTGTGGTCACAGCTGGTAGTCATAACTACCTCCTTCCACTACCCAGGCTGTATTTCTTCTCTTTTTAATTTTTTTTTTTTTTTGTACTGGGGATTGAACCCAGGAGCTCTTTATCACTGAGCTACATTCCCGGTCCTTTTATCTTTATTTTGCTTTATTATTATTTTTTTTTTTGGTACTGGAGATTGAACCTAGGAATGCTTTACCAGTGAGCTACATCCCCAGACCAACACTTTTTATTTTTTATTTTGAGACAGGATCTAAGTTGCGGAGGCTGGCCTTGAATTTGAGATCCTCCTGCCTCAGTCTCCTGATTGGCTGGATGGTAGGTATGCCACTGCATCCAGCCCAGTCTGCATTTCTTTTTTTTTTCCCCCAGCAAGCACCTCAACTGGTTATAGTTCTTCCCCTGGGCGGGGCAACTCAAATCTTCATCCCCAAAGAGTCTGGGCCATTCATAGTCCTGAGTAGATTGGGTTGTTATAGTTTTCCATTAACCTTAGACACAGGCACGAGAATATTAAGAGATGCCCCAAGAGACCTCCTATGTTCCAGACATACTTTTCCTCACCTCCACTGTGGAGTAGCAGTCCAGATCACCTTGGTGGTCAGGATGGGTCTGTCAACCCAACCAACTCTGTAACCCACTCCTTGTCTGCTGACTTAGAGGCATGAGGAGCCCAAAGTGGTCTGTTGGCAGTCTTAACTTCCAGTTCAATGGGACCATTGTTGTGTGTTTGGTGGCAGGATTTCTCCCACTGGAACTAAGCTCTCTGGGCCAGCAGAATATAAAGTAGCAGCAACAGGAAGCAAACATTGCACTTAGTGGGTCACTAGAGGTAATGGTAAGTGGTATCACTTCCGTTTCCACCCCTTGATTCTTGGACTCATAAATCCTGGCTATCAGAGAACAGCATCACATATTAGATACTAATTCAGGGCATATACAACCTTCTGGGGAACATTGCCCCAGCCATTCAAGATATTGCATCCTAGCTGGCACTGTAACTGAGTTTTCTATAGGCCATTCTATAGTTCTTTCAGACTAATTGTTCTAGGATGACTAGAAACATGGTAAGATCAGTGAATTCCATGAGCAGGGGCCCATTGCCACACTTCAGTTGCTGTGGAGTGAATTCCCTGATAAGTAATGCCATGTGGAACAGCATGGGAATGGCTGAGGTACTGTAAGTCCACAGATGGTAGTTTCAACAGGAGGAGTGCATGCAGGGAGGGCCAATCTGTACCCAGAGTATCTGTTCCAGTAAGAACAAAACACTGTCCCCTCTGCAGTGGAAGCTGTCCAATGGAATCACCCTGTCACAAGGGAGCTGACTGACCATCCTGGCAAATGGAGCAACATCAAGGACTTGGTGTTGGTCTCTGCTGTTAGCAGAATGGGCACTCAGCAGTCGTCATAGTTGGGTCAGCCTTGGAGGGTGGAAGTTCATGTTTCTGAGCCCAGGCATGTATGTGTGCATGTGCATGCGTGTGGTGTGTGTATGTGTGTGTGTGTGTGTGTGTGTGTGTGTGTGTGTGTGTGTTTGCAAATGGTTGGGAAGGAGGAGACGGGAATGGAATAGTCCACTGAGGAGAAAAAAGAGAAATAGGAATAGAAGACCATGTAACAATGTTGGAGAGAGCTAGGGAAAAAAATGATCCACTGAATTCAGGCATGAACAACCCCTCAGAGGTCACACCCATAGAGGTTGTGTAGAAGTGGTGGTGATGAGGGACCTGGTTGTTTGGAATCTACCATTGAGCAATCTGGTAGATACTTCTTGGATTACAAGGCTGTTGGGTGGAC